AAAAAAAAATCTGCTCAGGCCTTTATATTTTCAAGACAGTTAAGATAAATCAAAGTGTCTGTAGATGTGCATATTCTGACATTATCAAGGGCATTGATTCCAGGGGGACTCTGCATCACTTACCCATCAGTGTGGAGGTCAGCCTGGCTATGCAAGACTACATCCCCCTCAATATTTAATTCATCTGACAGTAACTTTGTCAGTTAGATAATTTAATCGGTTAGGCTTTTAAACTGTCAAATGTCACATAATGTAAAATGCAGATTTCCAGTTGTAACCAACCAACAGGCCACTGAGAAGAGCAGCTATTTTTAATGTCTGACAAGCTACAACCAAAAAATGTATTAATTAGAAAAATAGTTGCAGTATACTGTTCTGTTAATTAATCCACATATTATTTAAGATTTTGCTGTAGTCGTGATGAACATGATCAGGAAAGACAACAATTGTGATATCAGACAAAACACAACCTAAATATGACCCGTTCTGTGATCCAGTCTGGCGACCCTATAGTGACTTGTTGAAACCTGAAGGTGGGTTTTACCAGAAGACATTTAATGTAGCATACTGCATTAACTTAACATTCAGTATTCATGAGGTAAAACAGGCAGCTGATTTTGTACAGTGTTCATTGCATATATGTTTCATTTACAATAATTACATGACATATCTGTAGTGACACTGTTTGATTAATCTGGGACACTGATTATCACAGATCTTAATGCATCCCATCCTACTCATTACATTGCTTACTTGTGAAACTAAAACAATGCAATTGAAAACTTGAAATGAAGCACCAACATTTACACACATGCGACGGTAAATTCAGTTTCAAATCTAAAATCAATCTTGAAGAGACCTGTAATAAAAAAGATGAATATATCTGGCTGGAGTGTGATAATGAGGCAGTAAAAATTAAAAACAGTCTTCTTCTGTGCATCAGCTGCAACATACTGGGGATTCTTAAAGCTCAGCTAGTGGTCATACTGACCTTTCATTCAAGTTTTATTTTCAGTGGCAATGCCATTGAAAACACATATATGATATGTGTTAATACATTCAACTCTGTGTTTTTAATCTAATGTTGCTACTCACTGCCTGTAGAAGTAGACAGCCTGTTATGACCAGATTCCTCATGAACATATATTGAGATTCTGATTTTCAGTTCAGCATTATAAGTACTTTGTTGTCTTATTTCTGTTTTTTAAATCACACTTTACTCCACTAATTCCACACACTGCAGTTCATTCTCAGTAGCGCGGATTGAACTCAGACTCGCTGGCGCTGCTGCTGCTGCTTCGTTTTCGCCGCTGGCGTCCTCCATCAGACTTCCACCTGACATTTTCAGGAGGGTTCAGGACCTCGTCCCCCGTCTCGATGCCCAGGACCTGCCTCTGCACCAGCTTGCAGTAGAGCCCACCACTGGCCATCAGCTGACTGTGAGTGCCCTGTTCAGCCAAGCAGCCCTTGTCAATCACAATGATGTTATCTGCCTTCTCCACTGTGCTCAGCCGGTGGGCGATCACCAACACTGTGTGCTCCTTCATGATGTTGTTCAGAGCCTGCTGAACCTGATATGGCACAGATTCACAGTACACAATGAATCAACACCACGCTGACACATTATATTACTCAGTAATGCCGCATTTATGGCAGGGCTATATAACAGGAGTGCACTGCATTCAACAGCTCTTGTACACCAGCTGTCATTGAGCTTGGGATAAATACAGTAGTTTACTTACAATGTGTTCACTCTCTGCATCCAGAGCACTAGTTGCCTCGTCCAGGATAAGAACACGTGGCTGGCGGATGAGAGCTCTTGCAATGGCCACCCGTTGTTTCTGCCCTCCTGACAACTGGGTGCCCTTCTCTCCAACACCTTAGGTGAAAAAAAAGGTCCTATTAATTAATCCGGATAACTTCATCCTAATGAAGCACAGATGGCAGCAAGTTCCATTTCCTTTTAATAACAAGATGTGGTTGGCATTTTAAACTAGATTTTAGTGTAGTAAGAGAGGATCACATGTAACAAAGACCCCTTACTAGAGGGAAACAGGAAAACAGAAAAATCATGTTTTTTTCAGTCGAGAAAATATGTATACCAACTTTACATATACACTGCTTTTGAAACACAGTTATAATTTATATAAACTGAAGTTGGGACTCAATACCTTTGTCCTGCTAGCAGTAAATGGTATAGGCGTGTACAATATGAGCTACGACGTGTGATAACATTGGTCTATTTTATGGTGACAATATGACTTGCAATAAATAAATAAATTGCACATGAATACCCAATCAATTAAACAAAACATTAATTTAAATAGGACACTGTAAATAAGAAATTAAGGTTTATTTTCCCTTGCACACCTATTTTCTGCTTAACTCAACAAAAACGCCTCGATGCCTTCACTCTTTCTTCCTCCACACCAAATTGACGCCGGTATTTCTGAGGGGAGCTGACAGCTACTGGGACTTCTGGGAATTTTAATAGGACATATGTTTGCATGCTAATAAAATATTTCTTCTTTTTCTTTGCATTTTAAACAGTTTTTTTGCATTACGTTCATTGTGCATGTTCATATTGCAGCGATGAAAATACAGCACTAAAATAGTTTGTATGGTACAGCAAAACAATAAATTGCCATGTTCTCATCAATATTATTTATTTTTAGAAGGTTACACTCTGATTTGTAATGCAGTAGTCTTGCATTAGTCTTCTGCTTAATTACAACTGTGTTAGGGAAAGTGCTGTATAATATAAGTTGGTGCAAATAACATTTATTGACCTAAAATAGCAGTTTTCATCCAAAAACATTTATGTTATTAATACAGTACACAGTAAACAGACTAAACAGATTTAAGACTCACTTGTCTCATAGCCTTTCGGGAGAGTGGTGATAAAATCGTGAGCGTTAGCCTTGGTGGCAGCCTGCATCACAGCTTCGATGGGGGCGCCGGTCAGGCCATATGAGATGTTCTCCTCAACTGTCCGGGCAAACAGCACAGGCTCTTGGCCCACAAGAGCCACCTGCAGATACAAAAAAGCAACTGACTGTATTTAAAGATATGCAAACCCTCTGTGGCATCACAATGCAAGTACCTGACTCTTCCTAACTCCCAGCTAATCCAACAATGAGTGAGGTGGAACATAAGTGGAGCTGAGGGGCCATGCAATGTGTCTTGGCCATGCAATGTCCTGTGACAGACAGTCACGGCCTTAACTATGCACAACTTTAAGTCATAATACAACGTAAACAGTTGAGTTAAATAAAAATGAATCTGCATACAGTTGTTGTGAAGAAGAAAATAGCAATAGAGGCCAAAACTGCATACCAGCTCTGTACCTGGTAAACATATTTATTTCTACTGTAAAGTTGGACAATTTAACATGACAGGTCTGTGGGGACTGAGTCACATGTGGAGATACCCTCAAGTGGTCATTCTAGGAGCTGCACCGTTATTGGCACTTAAGCATTTGCTTCATTTTTTAGCCCAAGAGGTTGCTGCTTGAAAATAACAAATGGAAGGTTAAGACAAGGACTTCATTTTGAAACAACCATTGTGTATCCAAAGCCTGATATATAATACACGCATGTGCCCTCGAGCTCCATTGTTGTCCAACAAAACACATCACCTCCGGATTTTAAATTCAACATATTCAGCAGAGATTAACAGGCTTGGATATAAAAAAAAACAAAAATTAAAAAAAAATAAAAATAAAAAACTGCGAGATGAGCTAAAACATCATTAGTTCTAGTGTTTTCATAAGATTTGTTGACAATAAGACAGACAAAAAAAATTACAGCAGTCTTTATTCTCTTCCCTGTTCTGAGTGTAGAGTAGAGTATATCGACTGACCTTGGAGTGGAGGTAGTCATGCTGAAAAGTGTGAACAGGCTTTCCATCAAGCAGCACTTGGCCTTGCTGAGGAAGGTAGAAATTTTCCAGCAGACTCACACAGGAGCTCTTTCCGCTGCCTGAAGGTCCCACCAGAGCAGTGACCTCTCCAGGTCGCAAAGTAAATGACACTCCCTGCAAAAAGGAACCAGTTCATAAGGGTGATTTTCTTTCAACAGATTTTCATCTAATCAAAAGAAGAGGGTTTCAAGGCTCAGTGGCTGTTAATATTTAGGGATTTATGTTACTAAAACCCAAAATATTCACAGTTACTATCTAATTACCTCTATATATCAGCATTGTTATTTTCAAATATCTCAAAAAATGTAAAACTGTAGTTCCACCTGATGATGCAACCCTTGTATAGTTGTTTAAGATGAAGACTAATTTTTATTTAAAAGGCTATAATGGGCCAAATATTGTTGCTAACATGTTACAGTTACACACACCACTTAGGCGAGGTGTAATTAGTTCTACAAGGTTTCTTAACACAGTGAAGGAGCAACATCCGTCAGAACGAACCTTAAGAATATCAGTCTCAGGACGGGTTGGGTAGGCAAACGTGATGTCTTTAAACTCAACCAGACCGGTGCATGTGTCTGGAGCCTCTGTGCCATCAGCTGGGTGTTCAGGTTTCCTATCCAGATACTCAAAAACCTTCTCAGCAGCTCCAACTCCCTGCATGAGGCCCGTGTACACTGATGCAATGTTCTGTAAGTAAACAAGATGTGGGTTTGCTGCCTCATGTTTGCTGCCCTGATTTCATGCAGCTATAAAACAACAACAAAGAAAAAAACAACAACAGATGAAATAAAAGATAACATACCTCGAGACATTCTCCCATTTCGAGCATGTAGATGAAAAAAGATAGCAAAGCACCGCTGCTCATCTGCCCCGTAACCACAAGGTGACCTCCATAGTAGAGAATAGCAACCTCTAGAGCAAGCTCTGAGATCTGGAAAACACACACAGTTCTACTCACGCGTATGCTGTAACAGACAGATATCAATACATAAACAATTTTGATAAAACAAAGAATTAGGTCATATTTCCAGATGCTGGTACCTACAAAACTGGACCACACGTAGCAGGCGTAGGCCAGGGCTTGTTTTTTGTTGAGCTGGAACATGAGTAAGAGCTTGGCATAGTAGGTGTCAGACTCCCCATTCTCATTAGCAAAGCTCCGCACTGTCCTCATGGATGAGATGGTTTCTTCTGCAACTTTATTGGCCTCTGCAAGCGTTGTTTGCACCTCTTTGCTCAGTTTCTGAAAATGTATATATGTTACTTTATTTTTAGTCTATTTCAAATACAGTACACTTAATGTCATACCGCTTTATAGAATATCTCATTTGTAATCATAAAATATCCAGAATCATTTCCTATACAACCTATAGTACAACAGCCCGTTTGTTGTCATAGAATAATCCCGGTTTTTGTCATAACGAAACTCCCCGAAATGGATTCCAGGAATAACTTTTGCCCGTTTAAAGTCATGGTCGTTACAGCTCACGGGCCGAGCGTCAGACATGCATGGCAGATTATCCCACCCTTGTCAGCTGTGGAACTCAACGTGTTTGTTTGTTTGTCAATTACCTGCTCACCTGAGATCTGCTTCACTGAGTTGTTCACACACTGTCTGACATTAATTAGGGCACATCAAAGAGCAGAGCATGTCGTGACTCATAACTTAACTGCTCAGCTATCTAATCATAAAGAGTTAGTCCTCTATATACCCTCTGATTGAAGGAAATAACTTTTATTGATGGGGTGGCTTCGCGTACTGACAAAGGTGAAATTTCCCTGAAGCAAAACCATAAAGCTCCATTTGAATAAACTGTCCCTTTGATCTTGTGAAAACATTCCCATTTTGGCTATATGTATAAACCCCCGTTTTTCGTCACACAGACACAATTTTCTCAGTGCTCAATCTTTGCAGACATGTTGCCCGCTTACTGGAATATAAATAAATTTCTCAGGTCTGGGATAAATAAAGTATTTGTATTCTATTCTATTCTATATCCCGGATATAGTCATAATTCCATCCTGGACCGAGAGTATGATGATAAACGGGCGGCACTGTATATCTATTTTTTACCAACACTTCAATGCACAATGCCAGTTTTAGCGCCACAGCTACAATCTGAATCAATCACATTCAGGAAGAAGAAAAATCTTATCTTACTAACTGTCAAAACAAGCAGAAATTTTAATTCCCATGTGCTCTGCAAACAACAGTGTGTCCTAATGTACACATCAAATTCTCTGAAAATTATCACGCAATCATCACCTCTAAAAAAAAAAAAAAGAAGCAAGTTCTGAATTCAACCAAATCATTCTTTTTTTATCATTGACCTGGTAAATGGTGTGTTGGTACACTCTCTTCTGCAGAATACATATTAGATTTACATCAGTGTATGTGTTGCTGCTCAACAACTGAAGTGTAATATCAGTCAAGTCAAGTGTTATTTACATAACACATTTAAAAGAACAGACATTAAGTCAAAGTGCTTTCCAATAAAAGAAAAAGAATGACACTATGCACTTACATATCGAGGTTAAGACTTGACAGTACTACTTCTTGTATAAAAATAAATGCTCAATGCAGAAATAAAACTACTTTACCTTGTAGTATTCGCCGTAAAGTCTTGAGACGAGTGCGATGAAGGGGAATCCCATGACGGCCACCATAGTGAGCTTCCAGGACATCCCAAACATGAAGATGAAGAAGCCAATGCCCTTGATGACGCTCCGCAGGAAGATGTTGACATTTACAGAGATGAGGTCGCTCACCTGGGTGGTATCAGCTGACAGGCGTGAAATGATGTCACCTGCAGGGAAACATAGGCAGCCAATCACATTACAAGAACATGAGACGGGAGGAGGACTCAGTAAATGCAGGTGGACAGACGGGCTTGTTAGCAAATGCTGCGAATACATTACCTGTGTGGTTGTCATCAAAGAAGGCAATTTCCTGCTTCATCAGAGTTCTGAAGAGATGGTTCCTGAGCCGAAGGTTTAATCTCGCAAATGTCAGGGTGAAGACTCCACCTCGCACGCCCATTGCGATTGAGCTGAGGAGAAAGAAACAGCCGTAAATCTTTTTCATGGTTTGGTACATGCGACACGTGGAATCCTCAAAACAAGTCGAGCAGCTTTTGCAGATGTTGCTGGACAAGTCCAGTCCTCTCCTAAGTCCTCCTTTCTCTGTCTCAAAGGAGTGTCACAACGCAAAGGTGTTGACCAGAATCGTCACATTTAAACAACAAGATGTAGACATCATGTTGACAATACACATATGTTAACATCATAAATAACTCAGTGACAGGAACCATACAGTTGGCAGCCCAACACAGAAACAACACACGGTACAGTTAATGTTACAGTTACAGACTCTTACCACCTTCCTACACTCACCTGTTGTGAGCTAGACTCATTTACAAACAGAAAAAAAACACAATAAACAAAGTTAAAGAGGAATTTAACTGAAAGTATTGTTGTTGTTTTTTCCAGTTTTCAGTGGATCGTATTATCATTATTGTGAGTTCTTCAAAAAGTGATAATTGTGTAGTGACATAGTGACAGCTCTATTGTCGAATAAATAGTCAAAATAAAAATAAAAATAAACATCAACAGTACAATAAATTAAACAGAGTGCTACTTTGCAACACTTTCATATTAACAAATGTCTGTTAACTTATTTTGAGCTGTAATTATAGCTACCCTCACTTCTTTCCTTTAGAAAATGTACAAAGGATCTCAGAGATGAAGCTCTACATTTTGTGCAACACCTTCAGACAGATTCAGTAGATACTCACCTGGCTAAGGCCAGTGTCGCCAGAGTGATTAAAGGTTTGGCAAAATACGCCATGCTTTGGTGAACCACAATGCTGTCTATAGCCCTGCCATAGTAGAATGGAATGAAGGCTTCACCTGGAGGCAAAAAGAGAGAACTGTTAGGACTAATGGTAATGCTGTCCACATATTTTGGGGTCTTAGTGGATCTGATTCAGCCACAGACATGGTGCTAAGTTATAATGTGGACAACAATTAAGACATTTCTTTCATTTCAGAAATTGAGTAAAAATACCATAAAAATGAGGAATTAGATGTAGGTTCTTTTCAGTTAATAGGATTTGTGAGTTTTCTTTGTCTTCTGTGGTAGTAAACACAACATAATATGATAAACTGATAAAATAATTGGCAGAATAATAAAAAATGTGTCCACTGAACCCTCTGTATGGCGTAACTGTTCACGTTCCTTGTGTTACAGTCACAGAGCTGAAGTAAAAGACTACAAAGAAATGCAAAACTATCTCAGAGAGACACCCCAAAAATACAAAAGGCTTCTCGAAAGATGCGCAAAAAAAAATGTTTTGTAGTCATACATGAAGAGAGGGGCTGCAAGGTGTCTCGGTGGTTAGCACCGTCGCCTCGCAGCAAGAAGGTCACCGGTTCGCGTCACAGTGAGGACAGCTGGGATCTTTCTGTGTGGAGTTTGCATGTTCTCCCCGTGCAGCGTGGGTTCTCTCCAGGTTCTCCGGCTTCCTCCCACACAGTCCAAAAATATGTTGAGGTTAACTGGTGATTCTAAATTGTCTGTAGGTGTGAATGTGAGTGTGCTTGGTTGTCTGTCTCTAAGTGTAGCCCTGTGATAGACTGGTGACCTGTCCAGGGTGTCCCCTGCCTTCACCCTAAGTCAGCTGGGATAGACACCAGCCCCCCTGCCACCCTAATGAGGATTAAGCGGTGTGTAGATAATGGATGGATGGCTATATGAAGAGAGTCAGGAGGCCTTTTATTAGTCTTTGTCCAGGGGTTCACTGTTTCATAATGAGTCCATGCCTGGTCTCAGGCACTGATTTGTGTAAATCAGTTTTAAAAAGTAATCATTTGAAATAAGTCTTTGTTTAATTTATGTTAGTAATTACCATCTAAGGCCTTATTATCAGGAGCAGAGGTCAGCGGTTTTAAACACATTTCAGTACCTGCATAAACCCTGCATGAGTTAATATTTAACATGTCTTACACTCATAAACTCCCCTGACTGTGATACTATATGTTTGCACATGGTGCCTTCAACTCTGTAATGTTTTATTCATTATGGCTTGGAATATGAGAAAAACAAGGCCCTTCTATTTTAAACATTTTGAGGCTCTTGGTGACAAAGTGTTGTGTAATCAGGCATAAAAAGCATGGTCACAACCTACAGATTCAGCAAGCAAACACAATCACCATAGAAACAGTAAGTATTGCACATCAGTGGTGCAATCCTTTGTAACAGACAAGAGTAAAAAGTGTGACGTCATCATGTGAAGGGTACTCACACACTGCAGAGATGAGGAGGAAGAGGACAGCTACAGCGAGCAGACCACCATCCTTTTTGCAGTAGGTCAGCAGGCGTCCCAGGGTGGCCCCAGAGTTGGTGTTCTCCTTCTCCTCCTCCTTCTTCTTCCTCTCACCCCCAACCTCCTGCTCCTCCCCACCAGCTGTCTCCACCAACTTCTCAGTGTCCTCAGAGCCCCTTCCTCCTCCTCCTCTACTGCTGCTGCTGCTGGTGCTCACAGAGTTGGACTCCTTCCCCAGCCACCCCCACAGCAGCATGACACCCAGAGAGGAGACGCAAGTCCAACATATCAGGCTTAGGATCCAGGGCTGGTGGGTCAGAGGCTGCAGCTCAGTCAGCATCAGCAGCTTGGTCAGGGCGTAGGTAATGATGATCAGGGAGACGAGGACAATGAGGGAGGTGAATTTAGCAACCCTCTCAGGGCCATCCACCTTGTTCCACGACACCCCTATGGAGGCTCCCAGCAGGAGGCAGGCTCGGAGCAGCACAGTCCCCCACAGGTCCAACGCAGACTCGAGGATGTTAAAATTCAGGGCCTCATTTCTGAAGATGCTCAAGTGTGATCCATGTGTGTAGAGAAGAGTGGAGACGACAACATCCAGTAGGATGTATAACACAGTGCAGCTCACAGCTACTTTGATTCCCATGATGAGGATTTATTCCAATGATCAGTTTAACTGTCCCAGATAATATACAACTTTAAGTGGTTAACAAGACTAAATGTAGGGAATGTCACCCGAACTTAAATGATGTTATTTAATATATTGCTAATTACGGTAACAAATCCTGAAAAAAGAAAAAAAAAGTACATTTTAAGATAAATGGGACAAAGTTTGGGTTTTGTTTTGCCGTAGCTACAAGCAAAAACGAAGTAGTTGTACAGTATCAACTAAAATAAAATATGCCACTTAACCGTAAATGATTGTCCTGTGAGGATACAACATCAGTCCTATAAATTTACAACTACATTGTTAGCTAGCTATGCAAATTAGCTCCTAGCACACCGTGAGCTTCGTTGCGTCAGGTTACAAACGATGCCATGTTGGCTCAGTACCTCCCTGTCCAGTCAGGTGTCCGCAGGAGCATGAAATCACTCACTGTTGTGTTATGTCCTCCGTTAGGAATAAAACACACAGCAGCCTAAATGCTGCACTCGCTACGAGAAGACACCCTCGTCTCAAACTGTTTACTTAGGTTAAAGGAGAAGAACCGTGAAGCGGACACCGGTATCAAAGATCGTCTATATTACCGGAGATTCAGACTAGGTGTCAATGAAGGTGGAACAGCCAGAAACCCCCGCGAGCTCAGACAGCAGCGGTTCTACGTCACAGATAGTGGACAGAGTGACACCTCTTTCTTCTCACCTCTCTGTCGCACAACTGTTGTTGCGGAAGTGACCGCAGCGTGGCTCCTCCCACAGCTGGATCAGGGAGGCGTTCAAGAGCTGCAGTTTAACCCTTTATGGCAGGGGTGTCAATCTCAAAAACACAGTGGGCCAAAATTTAAAACCTGAACAACGTCGCGGGCCAACATTGAACAAATGAACCTTTTAATATGGACCGAAACAAAATTTGTTTTAACATTGAATATGGAACAAGCAACGCTTATTACCATACATTATATATAACTTAATAGTGGAGACATGCAAAATCAAATTATTAATAAAAAAACACATCAATGGCACAGTGACAGTTGTAGTGTGAAGTCGCTATGCCTACTGTCACAGAGGAGAGGGAGTTTCTGGGTCCTGTCCTGATTGATGTGCCAAAACAACAACAGCTCTAGTAGTCATTTGGTATTGTCTCGCGGGCCAAATATAATTACAAAGCGGGCCAGAGTTTGACACCCCTGCTTTATGGGGTTCTACAAGTACCATCTCTATGACTGTTCCACTACGAAGCAGTGGTTTTGCTCCTCGGAGTAAATGACATTACTAAGAATATGTGCTCGAATAAATTCACCAGAAATCTCTTGCATACTGTAACTGTGCCCTCAGCAAATTCTTTTGGACCTCACTCTATGGTGGAATTGACTGGAAAAAAGCGTGGCTCGTTGGTGATAAATTCTGTCTGAATAATAAAGTTAAAGAGGCCTCTTTTAAAATAATGCATAAAATATATCCAGCAAAGAAAACTCTAGAGAGGTTTAAGATCGATACATTATCAAATATTCTTGTGTTTTTTGTGGGAATGAGGAAGAAACAATTTGCCATCTGTTTTATCATTGTGTACACACTACAATATTCTGGATGGATGTTCAGAATTACATCAACAGAAGAACTGGACAAGCAATCAACCTAAAAGAAAAGGGAATTAAAAAAAAAATTCAATACAAGGAGAAAGAGAAAGACTTTACTTTTTTTGTACAGTCTTGTTTTTCTAGGGAAATTTCACATTCAAAATCCAAACCAAGTTTTGAATTTTTTTTGCATGAACTGAAATAGTATTGCACAACTATTAAAGGCCTTAAGAGCAAGCAGGCACTTAAAACTGATTCTGTTTTCGATAAGTATTGTAAAGATTGACAACGGTATTGAATGGTATGCTATATCCCTTTATTTGTTAGGTTTGCTTTTGTTTTTGTTTTCTATGTTTGATTTGTATTCTATATTGTCGGTACTCCGTTTCTGTTTCTTTTTAATCCTCTGGTACAATCAGTTTTTCTTTTTACCTTAGTATGTAAATAAAGGGTTTTGTTTTTTTTTTTTAAAGAAACCTTTATGGGGCAAGTGACCATATTTGGTAATTTCCTGGGACATTCAACATGTCCTGTTCCTTGAGGATGAAGAACCATGTGCACTTTTATATTCGTGCTGGTATCACTGCCTTACAAAGAAATGTCACTAAACAAATGTTCCAGGCACTTCATAAACACTTTGTTACTGGTTTGCATTGAACTCCACTTTGATTTATTTTTTGAAATTTGTGCCAATACAACTACCCCAAGAAAAATGTTACTAAATGAACCTGCCAAGCACTTTATCAGTACTTTGTTACTGGTTGTGTAAGTATCATTACGTCAAACTAAAATATTTCTAAAGAAATGTTTTTTGCAGTTTGTTACTTGTTCTTTTGGTTATTGTAAACTCCTTTAAAAAAAAAAATACAGTAGATGGGCAAGTTACCATACACTCACCGGCCACTTTATTAGGTACACCTGTCCAGCTGCTCATTAACGCAAATTGCTAATCAGCCAATCACATGGCAGCAACTCAATGCATTTAGGCATGTAGACATGGTCAGGACAATCTGCTGCAGTTTAAACTGAGCCTCAGAATGGGGAAGAAAGGTGATTTAAGTGACCTTGAACGTGGCATGGTTGTTGGTGCCAGACGGGCTGGTCTGAGTATTTCAGAAACTGTTGATCTACTGGGATTTTCATGCACAACCATCTGTAGGGTTTACAGAGAATGGTCCGAAAAAGAGAAAATATCCAGTGAGCGGCAGTTCTGTGGACGCAAACGCCTTGTTGATGCCAGAGGTCAGAGGAGAATGGCCAGACTGGTTGGAGCTGATAGAAAGGCAACAATAACTCAAATAACCACTCGTTACAACCGAGGTATGCAGAATAGCATCTCTGAACGCTCAACACGTCGAACCTTGAGGCGGATGGGCTACAGCAGCAGACGACCACACCGGGTGCCGCTCCTGTCAGCTAAGAACAGGAACCTGAGGCTACAATTCGCACAGGAAAATTGGACAACAAAAGATTGGAAAACGTTGTCTGGTCTGATGAGTCTCGATTTCTGCTGCGACATTCGGATCGTAGGGTCAGAATTTGGCATCAACAACATGAAAGCATGGATCCATCCTGCCTTGTATCAACGGTTCAGACTGGTGGTGGTGGTGTAATGGTGTGGGGGATATTTTCTTGGCACACTTTGGGCCCCTTAGTACCAATTGAGCATCGTGTCAATGCCACAGCCTACCTGAGTATTGTTGCTGACCATGTCTATCCCTTTATGACCACAGTGTCTTCTGATGGCTACTTCCAGCAGGATAACGCACCATGTCATAAAGCGTGAATCATCTCAGACTGGTTTCTTGAACATGACAATGAGCTCACTGTACTCTAATGGCCTCCACAGTCACCAGATCTCAATTCAATGGACCACTTTTCGCATCATGGATGTGCAGCCGACAAATCTGCAGCAACTGCGTGTTGCTATCATGTCAATATGGAGCAAAATCTCTGAGGAATGTTTCCAGTACCTTGTTGAATCTATGCCACGAAGGATTAAGGCAGTTCTGAAGGCAAAAGGGGGTCCAACCCAGTACTAGCAAGGTGTACCTAATAAAGTGGCCGGTGAGTGTATTATTGTAGTAATTCAGCTTTTGAGGTTTGAACTTGAAATGAATTCTGAAGAAAAATAACAACACATGAAAGCTACAAGTATGAAACAATACATTTATGTCAAAGTATTTTACAGCTTAAAAATCTTTTGTATGACAAAGTTAAACAATAAGTTAAAATAATTTTCATGGGAAGCAATACTTTTCTGTGGGGACATGGGGAGGAAAACAGCACATGCGGGCCAGTGATTACTGCAGTCTTTGGCCACTGGACTCTGTTTTTGAGAGGTTTAGAGAAACAACCCACACCAGCACCTTCAGCTAATGTGAGTGATAAAAGGACTGATCATCACACTCATTTCACCAAAATCTGGATTGCAGTCTTCTCTCCAACACTTGGAACAGGTCATGACAACATGCAGTCGCACTCCACCAACGTATCTTCATCACCTAAGATGTCCTCCTCAGTGGACGTCAGACTCAGACAAGTGATACGCTAACTCTGTCTTTATGTCTTCTGAGCTGCTTTGCTCGGTGGCCAGCACCGTCTCAACAGGAAACGACAAATACAAACTCTCTTTCACTTTTTTGGGGGAGGGCGAGTCTCCTGCAGAAAACAATGGATCTGCGATTTTAAAGGTCACAGAGGGCACGTTGTGCGCTCTGCGCTTGGCGTTCTTCTTCTTCTCTTGTTTGTAGGCAGCATTCATGTTGGCTATCACCTGCAATCGAAGCACACACAACAGAGACAATGTTAAAAGAACACAAGTGTAAACACAACAGTTAATCTGTACACCATGTGTTATACACAGCCAGTTTATAAAGTTACCTTCCTAAATCTTTAAATGTCCGTATTTGAGAATATTTTGTCAGCTAGTTTGCTGCCATATAACACAAAATGTAGGTAATACTGGTGTTAACAATTGGTGAGGAGCTTCTCTTTCCAACACACCATGTTTCATGTCAGACAGCAGGTGTGGGGGAAATCAAAACATACACAACGTAACTAAAAGGCAGGAACCAGTCACTAACCAGAGGTAGCTTTTTATTTTATTGCATTGTATCAGGTCTACTGTTAATTGCGACCTGTAGGCGTATTAGAAAAAAATTAACAGACTCTGAGTCCGGACTCTGGACTCCACTGAGAGCTAACATTGTTTCTCTCCAATCGCAGAGATCTGAAGAATCTGTTATAAAACCATTTAAAGAAGAAATTGTAAGAACAGCCATTCCCGATCTGCATTCAAAGATGCTTCAACAGCAGAGTCTATTTCCATTGATGAAAGATAAGATAATTTGAATTACCAGCTGCTTAACAGAGTTCTGTTGCTCCTGCATTATGGTCATATAAGTAGAGGCCTTCTCCTTTGTGGAATACATGTCTTGATCTGGTTCTTCATAATTCAGCAGGTTCAGTGTGGTCTAGATGACAAAAAAGGAAATTAAATAAGCAGAAAACAACCCATACTGTTAGAAATGCCGTACTGTAGCAGGCTTACCTCGTTTGATAAATTGGCTTTCCTGTTAAACATGAGAGAGTAAGGGGTGAACTTGGTCGTTGGGTTTGTGGACGTCCTGAAGAGAAACAGCACAGGGTCTAGGAAGTCATCCCACTGCGCCTGCTTCTCTGTTACCATCTGCACTATGGCTTCCTTTAGCAACGGGCTCGTGCAGTCATGGAGCGGGTTGAGCTGAGGCTGGTCCAGAGGAGAAACCCTCTGCACGATGCTCCACCTTTCACAGAGCAGCTTTGTCACCTAGAAAACACCATCATCCGCACTGACAAAACTGACCAACTATAACTTTATTTAATGTAACTTTGTTGGCATTGTCCCACCTCATCACAGAAGTCAGTGTTCTGCGTGCACACTATCCTTTTAGGGGCACCGAACCTGATGAAACAGAGAACGACACCTTCAGGTTAAAATATGTTAATGATGTAGCGAATGTCTTTACTTATGCTCACTGTAGGTAATCAATTCTTACTAATTTGGTTGTGAAATCATTAACT